ACAAAGAACTCCCGCTCATCTGGTTGAACCACTACTAAATATCCTCATGCTGCTGATCACAAATATGGTACATAACATGTGAACACTGTTATATATTACAGACTGTGGTAGACAATTTGCTCCAGGGAAGTTAGAATGAACTTGTGACTTTGAAATTATGTAATCATTTAATCACAATCAAAAAAAAAAAAAAAAAAAAGAACCTCGGGGAAGGGAGGGAGGGAGGGGATGGTAGGGGGAAAACAATGGAGGGGGTAACAATGTTCAAGAGGAAGTGTACTCATAACCTCACTCATGTAACTGTAACCCTCTGTATAGTAGCTTTACAATAAAAAAAAAAAAAAAAAAAAAAAAAAAAAATAAAGTACATAGTTGGTACATTTTCACGTATTTCATTCATGAACTTGTCACTGACATTGTGATAGTAAGCGTGATACAATCACCCCAGCAGTTCCTCCTGCCCTCTCTCTTTTTTTTTTTTTGGCTGAACTCTGGGCCTGGGCACTGTTCCTCAGCACTTCAGCTCAAGGCTAGCGCCCTACCACTTGAGCCACAGTGCCATTTCCAGCTTTTTTCTGCTTATGTGGTACTGAGGAATCGAACCCAGGGTTTCATGCATGTGAAGCAAGCACTCTACCACTGAGCCACCTTCCCAGTCCCCTCCTGCGCTCTCTTAATCTCTTGCTCGCTCTGTTCCCATCCCCTGACAGACACTGATCTGCTTTCTATTACTGTTGATTAGTTTGCATTTCCTATAATTTTACATATATGGGATCTTATGTGTGTTTTTGTTGGGGATCTTGGTCTGGCTTTCTCACATAATTGTGTTGATAATCATTTATGACTGTATGTATAAATAAAGAGTTCATTCCTTTTAATTAATGAAACAGTCATGCATCACTTAATGATGGGTCTACATTCTGAGAAATGCATCATTAGGCTATTTTGTTGTGCAAACATCAGAGTTTACTTACACAAACTAAGACAGCTACAGCATCATTAGGCAAATAATCTTATGGGACCACCATTGTTCCTACCATCTGTCATTGACCAGACATCTTTATACAGACCATGATAGCATTCCATTGTTAAGAACTATATACCACAATCCTTTTATGTCACTTATGGATGGATGTTTGAATTGTTTGGAACTAATATAGTAGAGCTGCTAAGAATATTTGTATAGGAGTCTTTGTGTCGAGTGGAGGTGTGGGATCATATGACAAGTCAACGGTTTAACTTTTAAGAGGAGTTAACTGTTTTCCAAAGTGGTTTTGCCATGTTAAATTCCAACCAGTAGTACACTTTTCTTGTATTGTCCTTGTTTTCACTGGATGTCAAAATAATGTTGTTTTGTAGAATGAGTTTGCTTTTTAATTTTTTGAAGAGTTGGTGTGGGATTGATATTATTTTCCATAAATGTCCTGGAAAATTAAGTAGTGAAGCCTTCAAGCCTAGAATTCTCCCTCCCTCCCTCCCTTCCCCTCTCTTACTTTCATTCATTCTTTCTTGTTTCCTTTCTTTCTTTTTCTTTTTTGTGTGCCAATCCTAGCACATGCACACAAAAGAAAACATAACAAAACAAAACTCAGGGCCTGGGCACTGTCCCTGAGCTTTGTGCTCAAGGCTAGTTCTCTACCACTTGAGCTTAGCTTCACTTCTGGCTTTTTGGTGGCTAATTAAAGATCAGGCTCATGGATTTTCCTGCTCAGATTAGCTTTGAACCACAGTCCTCAGATCTCAACATTCTGAGTCACTAGGATTACAGTCATGAGTTACAAGTGCCCAGCTTTATTTTCTTTTCTTTATGAGAATGGTTATGTAGAAATTTTATTCTCTTATTCTGATTTTTTGGTATTGATTTCTAATTTAATTTCATTTAGTCAGAATATATGTCCCGGATGATTTCCCCCACTTTTTGTGTTTCTACTGAAGCTGAACTCAGGGCTTCACCCTGTGTCCTAACATTTTTGCTCACATTGGCTGTCTACTATTTGAGCCACATTTCAAGTAGTTAATTAGAGATGGAGTTCATAAATATTTCTGTCTGGGCTAGCTTCAAAGCACCTCCTTCAGGTCTCAGCCTCCTGAGTAGCTAGGATTATAGGTATTTATCATCAGTGCTAGGCTTATCCTGAGCAATCTCTAATCTTTGAAATTTATAGAGATATTTTATGAGTTACCTACTATCTATGTAAAAATGTATTTTCTTGCTGCACAGTCCATGTTCAATTGTATACTGCATATTGTATACAAAAAAGCTTAGGGACAACATCCAGACTTTGAATTCAAACCCCAGCATTGGCACCAAAAAATAAAAATAAAACCACTCCATTACCTCTGGCTTACATTGTTTCTGATGAAAAGTTAGAGATTATTCTGATTGTTTTTCTTTTTCTTCTATATGTAATGTATTCTTATTCTCTGATCCTTTTAAGTATTTCTCTAATACTGGTGGTTAGCCATTTGATTATGCATGTAATCTGAAGTTTATTCTGCTTGTTGACCAGTAAGATTGTAATTTTTATTAGATTTGGAGAAAATTCAGCCAGTCTTTTTTCAAATGTTTTTCTTCCTTAATTTCTCTTTCTTATAAAGATGTTAATTACATATTCATTAAACCTTTGGAAACCTATATAAGTGAACTGAAACTTTGTTTCCTTTTTCACTCTCTTTCCCTCTTTGCTTCAATTGTGATATATTCTCTTGTCCTACCTTCAAGTTCACCAATCTTTTCTTCTACAGCATCTAATCTCTGTAAGTCCTCTTTGGTTCCTTTTTTTACAGCTTTCTCTTTGTTATGTTTATGTCCTCTTTTAAATCTTTGTGCATATTTGTAATAGCTGTTGGAAGGCCCTTGTCTCCTAATTCCGTCATTCCTATCATTTCTGTTGTTTCTGTTGACTGCGATTTTTTTCCCTATGATTACTAATCGTATCTTCCTGCTTCATCTAAAAAAAAAATTGCTTACGCTGTGTCCACATTGTCGATGGTACATTGTTGACCAGATTGTAATTTTCATCTTTTGTTTTAACAGGCAGGTAGTTTGCTTTGAGATCAAGGTATTACAAAGTCTTATTTTGAGGTGTTAGGGTGGGTCTGGAGTAAGTCTTAATGCTAGAGTTCCAGTAGCTCTTTCTGGGCCTTGCTAGTTCTCCAGTGAATGAATATGTGACTTACACAGTCTCTCAGCATCTTCTAGTCTTATGCAACCTCTGAGACTTCACTGAAGTCACAGATCCCCTCTGTTTCTCTCTCAGTGACACAGATTCATGGCACAAATCAAATTTAACATTCAGCTCTAATGACTTCCAGGAGGGCCCTCTGTAACATTTCTGGAATTCTTTCTATGCTCATTTCTCTCCCTTTTGTTATTCTGCCCTACAAATTCCAGCCACCTCAGCAGCCCTGACCTCTGATCACTTGTCTCCTTGGTTCAGTGGCTTGGCATGCTTCCATCTGGGTCCCGCTACTCTATGCCCTGACCCACAAGGTCTCCAAGCAGAGAGCTGGAGTGGCCGTGGGGGCTCACATTCTGTCTTCTCTCGTGCATTACAGTTCTGCGCTGCCTATCGATCAAGGTTTGAGAACTGTAGTTCCTTGGTCCAGCTTTACAGATGGAAATAGGAAGAAGGCTGGTCCTATTTCTATAGGAATAGGACCAACACACTGAGGAGATAAAGCAGGGGAAACAGAGGGTGGATAAGGTGTCTAGAAACATGGAGTCAGGGAGCTCCAGGGTGGGCTGCCTGTCTAATCTCAGTGTGGGTTCCATTAGAGTGAGCCTCCAGTACTGGTCCCTAATGTTCTCACCTAGAGAGATTAGTGGAGAAATCAGAGCTGGACCCCAGGTGCCAGCACAATATTGAATGTGTAGGTTCATTCTGTGACGACAATAAATGAGAAACCATTTGACAAAGCCAGAGGTCACTACGGTCCTTGGCTTAGAAAGAAGGGGAGGGAAGGGAGACAGGAAGGAGCATATGGAAATAGCTGTTTCCACCTCAGCCTCTATTCCTGAGTCAGAAAGTGAGTCCAGAGGGCTGGAGTTCGGATGGGAATGGACCCCATTCTCCCATAGACTGAGGCCCGGGAAACCCCTGCTTAGTCTGGGATGGGGCTTCCTAAAGATCTCTGCCCTCCTGGCACCTGCCATCCTGTAGGGAGCGATGTGCTCCCACCTCCCCTCACCGCCCCAGGATGGTGAACAAGGTCCATGGTGGCTCTCACTGCCTGTGTGATTGGGGCAGGACAGTTGAATGTCCCTGATTCCTGACCTCAGCATACCCGTCAGTACCAGGAGTGGACAGAGGTAGAAGGTCAGGGGCCATTCATGCTGAGCTGTGAGTGGAGACTCTGGCATTCAGGGATGGATGCTGCCCTGGGAAGGTGGATAATGAGACCCCATGCCACCCCAGAGCTCGGGAGCCAGCGGCCGGATCTCTTGGGTAGCTCAGTTCTGTGGCCAGGGCTCCCAGGCACTGCAGAGTCCCCTCCCCAAAGCCATGCGGGCTCTATCCAGCCCCTCCCTCCCCTGCCTTGCCATCTCTTCACCTCAGTTTGCCCCTCCCTGTCCACTTTCCATCCTTCTAAGCTGGCTTTCTCTGGAGGCAAAACACTAAGACACCAACATTCTAGAACAACGTGCCTGACCTGGGCTGATGAAACTAGTACCCCCAAGAGTGGGTCACAGCCTGAGGTCTTGGGCTCTAGATGACTGGGCTGGCCAAGGGTGATGAGCGGCCTACAGGGTAGACTGGGAACAACCTCTGAGCTAGAGCTGGTGCTCAGACTTCCCTCCAGGAGAAGCTGGGGAAGGTTCTAGATGCTCAGACTCTTCCTTCACTCTGGTTGGGCTCTGAAGCCCTCACTGTTTATCTAGGAAGTCAGAACTGCGTGGGAAAAGATGTCCTGACTGACACATGGGGACCTGCAGCCTGAGAGGCCACTCACTGGGCTGGCCTCATGGGTCCTGGGGACTGAGAACATGACCTTCACAGGTACCGCCCCCGGATGGGAGCCGCCAGATGATCCAGACACGGGTTCTGAGTGTTCGCATCCAGAGGTCACCCCATCTCCACGCTTCGTGGCAGCGAAGACCCAGACGAACCAGTCAGGGAAAAAAGCTCCGGCTTCCGTGGTTCGATGTGCCACCCTCTTACACCGAACCCCTCCAGCCACCCAAACTCAACCGTTCCGCACTCCAAACTCGGGATCTCCAGCCAGCAAGGCAACCGCAGGTACCAATCAATGGCCTACCTTACCCATACTTCCTCCACCCTGTTCCCCTTCTCCACTTGCCTGGAGTCATTGTTTCCTTGCAAGAACGAGAATGGAGGTTCCGTCATGCTCTGGGGCAGATCTGAGGCCTCGCTATCACTGGCCATGACCAAGGCAAGCCACTTCACCTCCCAATTACAGGTTCTAGCACTCTAAATCACAGTTTTACAAAGTCCATAACCTTTTTTTTAAGTAATAAAATGTGGGGGGGTTGCCCCTAAACATTGCCAAAAGCAATGGGATTTTTACAAGGTTTGAAAACTTTTTAAATTAATTGCCACCATTTGAATATTAGATTTCATGTGAAACGGTGAATTTTCAGCTAACACAGAGACATGGTTGGATTTGGTTCCTGGGCCCATGTTCATGCAGGGCAGCAGTGGGTGTCTCCTTTCACAGGGCACATGGCCCCCAGTCCTCACCACTCCCCCAGTCTCCACAGTCCTTACCACTCCCACAGCCTACCACCATGGCCCTGTGGGCAGATATGGAGAGGGTGTGCTGGTGTCTTCTGGTGAGGTGTCAAAACCTTCCTTAGAGTCCTCCAGGGCCCTGAAATGTCTCAGGGGCACCTCCCCTAGAGGTTCTGTAGAAGCTGACAACTAAGAAGGAGAAGCCAACTGTCCTTGGGCATCTGACCCAAGAAGGGTCTCCTAAGTGCTGGCACTGTCTCACTGGGGTCTCCAAAAATATAACCCCATCATCGAGAAAACAAAGGACAGCACAATTAATAAGCCAGATTATAGGAGTCTTTATTGCAAAGGCCAGCGACTGCATGGGGCCTAGGCTTCCCAAATCACACAGCACCAAAACAGCTCAGAGCTGGTCTTTTAACGATAAAAGCCACATCCTTTTTGGCAAGCAGTGTGTGAAAGGTTTTTTTCTTGCATAGCATGTACAGAAGTGAAAATGAGCATTGTTAGCAGGTCTAGACTTAACTTCCCAGAATTCTGGGTGGATGGAACATTTTGGGGTTTCTCGCAGCACCCACCTAAAATAATTTGTGGTTTTTCACAGAAACCTCTAAGCAGACTGCACCCTGGGGTTGGGGGTCCTCTCCTTGGGGGGTAAATGGCATTACTGCTGTCAGGCTTCAGGTTTAAGGACATAACCTATTCAATTTCTCATTGTGCTCACGCTGTTGTCTGTGTCCATCCACCCAGGTCATCCATTTATGTCACCTGGCATGCATTTGCATCATCTACCTTTTAGAAAACTCAGGCTAAAGTTCATTTCAGCCCTACAAAGTGAATGGTTGACCAGAATACCGTCTCCAGAAGGAAGAGGCTCATTAGGAAGCTGGAGGCTGCTAGTCCTAGTGTTTTCCCAGTCCATGCAGAAAAAAAGTTCTACCTCCAGAAGGGCAAACAGGGAGTGGAGTTCCCAATGGGCATTTCCCTACTATTTGTTGGCACCAGCTGCCAGGAACACTTGGATTAATTCTTGTTGTATGGAACAAGTCCCAGTCTCCTTGCCTGGATGTGGGGGTTGCATGGTGGGTTGATGACACCTGTGTGCCTGGAGCTGGGGTCTTGTTCATACCCTTGGAAGGTCAAAGCTGATCAGTGAATGAATGTGCAAGTGATCACATGGAGAGAGTGGGTTAATGAGCCTCTGGGTGTGTTTGGTGAAGGATGATCTAGCCAGGTAATTCGTTGTGGTCATCTTCCTATGATTCAGGAGGCTGATTTGGGGCCTGGCTCTGGTTGGTTTGTGCTTCTTAGCCTTAGATATCTCAGTAGGAGTATCGGTGAACCTTGTGATTGTAGAACAGTAACCATAAATTAGAAGCAGACCACGTTGTGGTCTGCTGGTCTCCTTGTTGGTAGACATCAGTTCATGTAAATAATGGAATTGTGACTGTCCAGTGTGGTTCTCTCTTGCTTTGAGCTTGGATGCCTGCCAGTTCTGCAAAGAATGAGCTCAGGGGCTGGTGTGTCTCATGTGACAGCTGTCATGTGTCAGTGTCTCCAAGCTAGCCTCTAGTGGGCCATGGGGTGCACCTTGGGCTGTCCTCTGGGACTTGGAAGCCACATGCATTTCGACTTACAGCTAGCAAGGTCAGAGGGCCCTCATTGAGAACAGGAGCCATTGGGGGCTGGGAAAGGTAGAGGTTGTACCGCCCTCTCTACCCTAGAGTATGTGGCTGTGTGTGTGTATGTATGTATACACATGCATCCCTGCACAACTGGCAAGGAAAGCTACTCAAAATTGCTCAAAATTAATTGAGCAATAGGAGCATCCTTGGAGTTGTTCCCCCTTAAAAAGGAATTTCCCATCTGAAATGGGCATGACACTATAGTCCCATCAGGCTGTAGGGGGATTATGGAGACCATGCTATCGAGGTCTAAACCATAGGTGCTCACGAGCAACATCCCCTCACTCGCTCACCCACCACAGAACCACAGGGTCCTCTGCAGCTCAGCCCGGGCATCTGAGGGGAGCCTGGAGGTCCCTGTGTTGTGGCAACAGCCTCCCAGTAGGGAACTCTGTGGGAGAACTTGTAGGGGTGGGGAGGGGGTAGCGGGGAGCTGAGGGGGCCTGTAGGGGGTCACCTCTGGTTTGCTTTCCCTCCATCACCTCCATGATCATCCAGACTAAGAAGAGCTAGGTGGATTCTCCTTCCAGTCAAACCCCTCTGAGCTTTTCATAACCTGTGTCAGCTGCTACCTCTTAGAGGGACCCAGTGAGCTGCACATCCCAAATTGACTGGTTCACGAGGTCTCCCCTCCTAGCCCACATTGCAGCTCCATGGCACCCAGAGGGCCTTGAAAGGCTAGGTTGCCTTCCCATTCAGACTTTGTTTCATGACCCCTGCACTTGGGGGTGGCTACATCTGTGGCTTTGTGCTTGGTTGGATCCTGCTGCTGCATTAGGGGATTTCCAGAAAGAACCTCAGAGAAGGTGGGCCTTTCCCTTCCCTGGGTGACCTCTGACCCATCTCACCTGATTATTGGCCTTCCCAAGATCTGGGGCTGACCTCCATCTCCTTGTCATGGCTTCTGTCCCTGGACATCCTCCCTGCCACTAGGAGCACCCAGCTAATGGAGCCGGGATCCACTGCCTAAGCCTCCAGCTAGGTCTAAACTGCCTGCCACTAGGGAGCACCCTTGGTAGAACCAGGGTGACAGAATCTGGCAGAAAAAGCCACAAGGGGGCAGATTCAGATGACCTGGTATCAAATGAGTAGCTCCCCAGGAGCCAAAGTTGGGGGGGGGGGGCTCACCCAGCCCTGTTTGCTGTCTGTTCACTGATTAGATTTCATCTGTGTGTCTGTGAGCAGGTCCTTCCCCTCCCCTACCCCATCCATGCCTGGATATCTTTGCCTTCTGCCAGAAGGCAGAAGGATCTCTGGACAGGGGACCAGATGACTCAGGGGAGCTGGGAGGACTGGATCTGAAGCCTCAAGTCCCCCTCCCCCACTGTGCTGGTTCTCCTTCCCCCCAGCAAAGAGTCCCCAGCATTCATCCAGCCCCAGAGGCCTCCTCCTGCAGCCCCTCCCCTGAGACCCCATGCTGACCACTCCCATGGCTTCTCTTTCTCTCTCCTGCCTCCCCACCCAGCAGAAAGCGCTTTCAGTCGAAGAGTAGAAGGCAAAGCACAAAACCACTTTGAAGAGACCAACAGCAGTTCTCAGAACTCCAGCGGTGAGTGTGCTGGGGACAGTGGCCTGGCCACAGCTGCCACCACCATCCTCTGTGGCAAGTGCCCATGGGCCAGGGTCTTCTGTGCATGAGGAGGGTCTTGCTGGGAGGAGGCTGGGCAGGGAAACAGAGGAAGAGCAGGGCCAGACAGAGCACAGGGGGCTCTTCTAACCCTCTTTGTCTCTTCTTCCCCATGGAGAGAGGATTTTTCCCCCTTCCCCAAACCCAGCCAGTCTAGCTGGATCAGCCTAAGAGAGCCATTGCTGTGTTTTGAAGAGAAAATACACAGCCAGTTTCTTTCAGGAGAGGCAAGAGGAGTGCTAAAAGAGAGCTCTAAGCCAGCACTGATGGCTCACACCTGGATTCCTAGCTATTCGAGAGGCTGAGATCTGAGGATCGCAGTTTGAAACCAGCCCAGGCAGTAAAGTCCATGAGACTCTTACTTACAATAAACTACTCAGAAAAAGCTGCAAGTGTCACTGTGGCTCAAGTGGTAGAGTGCTAACCTTGAGCAAAAAGTTGCTCAGGGACAGCTCCCAGGCCCTGAGTTTAAGCTCTAGGACTGGTATCAGAGAGAGAAAGAGAGACAGAGAAACAGAAACAGAGAGAGAAACAGACACAGAAACAGAGAGAGAGAGAAAGCTCTTAATTGGGAGCCCGAGACCCCCACTTTGGACCTGGGACCATCCGAATCAAGATTCCCTTCCAGCCCCTGCAGCTCCAGTGGGTTGGCCTGAGGCATCCCACTGGTATCTGGTGCCCCCTGTTGGCTGCCTGGTGCCCGACCCTGGCAGAGCCCTGGAGCCTGTCTAATGGCAGCTTTGGGAACCACCCTTCACTTCCACCTTCCCCACACTCCCTTCTACCTGCCAGCGCTAAGCATGGTCACACAAGCAGACTCTGTCCAAGCAAAGGACAGCATGCCAGGCTACACGGTGATAGCCAGGGTAGCATCAGTGACACTCATTTGCTGTCTCACGTGATTGAATTCACCAAATGCCTGGTGTGGGTCTGGGCCGGGCACTGGCTGGTATAGATGGAGTGAACGCAGCTTGTCCATCAGGGACTTGGTGGAGGCTTCTGCGTAGTCATAACCGTTTCAGCTTCGCCCAAGCCCAGGTTTGAACCCAGCCTCCCCGCTGGTGGCCCTTGAATGCCTCCTCCACTGTGAGTGGCTTGGAGAACACACCAGTGTTCCCCACGGAACAATCCCTATGGTTCTGAGGGTCTCACACAGGACACACACAGCCACTTTGGGTGGCTGCCTCTGGGGGACTTGGTTTACATTTCTTAGTAATCCCAAGATGGTGTGGTCTGGTCTGTGCTCCCTGGGGAAGGAAGGAGCTGAGATTTTAGATAATGTCATCCCCACCCCCTCTCCCAGGGGCAGTCTCAGGCCACACACAAGTCAGTGGCAACATGGGAGCAAGTTTCCTGGCCTTCCTTGGTCCCTGGCCAAACCATGCTGCATCCCCTGTGCCTCTCCTGTCACAGAGCTGCCTTTCAGAGTCGGGAGCAGTGCCAGCTAACGCTGCTGCCCTCCGGCAGTCACTGTTTATTGAGCGCTTACTATGTGCCTGGCATGTGTTCAGAGTTTATGTGTCTTATTCGTTTTCATCCTTGCCACAACTCTGGGGGGGGGGGGGGGACACACTCAGTGTCAGTGTGATTGTTATCCCTGCTATTCGGATTAGGAAACTGAGGCTCAGCAAGGGCCAGTTGGAACCCCAGGGTGCACCCAGACTATAAATAATGGAGGCCTGCATTGCTGCATGCTGGATTAGAGGCTTGACAGTCCAGGCCTCCAACAACTCCAGAAAGCAGAGGAGGGGAAAGACAGGCAGAAAGTAGCAGCATCTCTTGTTGCTCCAGTGATTGACACCAAACATCCCCATGCCCACGCCAGAACCCAGACGCAGCTGCCAGGGCCCTGTTCCAAACTGGGCAGCCATTCATGGATGCTCTCCTCCCTTAGGAGACCTGTGCACTCACTGTCAAATTGAGGGTATCCTAGAGGAGTGGCCCTGCCTGATCTTGTCCTGCCTGGTGGCCCCAGGGCCTAAGAGAAACTTACTTTCTCTAAACGAGGTAGCTTCATGCCAACACCTCACCTAGTATGTGCACTTGGCTGCCAGGTACTCCCTGCTCCACTTGCATGTTGGGTAAGAAGAAAAATCATGAGCCAGTCCTGATGGTACATGCATGTAATTCCAGCCCTTGGGAGCCTAAGACAGGAGTACTGTTAAGTCTAAGGCCAGCCTGGGCTATACAACCCAGAAAGAGAGAGAAGAGTAAGAGAGGGAGAGAGCAATCAGAGAACAGGACTGGAAGAGACTTAGCTAAACTGTTTCTTTTTTGCAGAAACTACAAGTCCCCTGATTTCCAACCCTTTCCCTCTCCTGCAGAGTAAGTGGCAATCCCACCTTGGGGGGCTGGCGAGGGCAAGGCAGGGCAGGGAGTGAACTCAGCTGGCCTCCCCAGGGAGCTGACCTGGGCTACTGTGGGGATAGGCCTTTGGCCAGCCTCCAGGGCAGACATAGCAACTGAGGGAGGCTACCAAGGGCCAGTGCCAAGTGGGTAGAGGAATGTGAGAGGCAGGTTACAGCCCTGAGCTGCTGGCTGCCTGTGGTGGCCCACTGGACACAGCCCTTCCTCCCAATCCTGGCCATCCAGAAAGCCTCAGGACGCCTCTTCCGAGCCCATCTGCAATCCTCCTTTTCTTCTTTCCTCACCCCCTGCCCCACACATCTTTTTCTCTTTCTTCTTTATTTATTTTTTTAATTTTTCTGCTTCCTTTCCTTTTTCCATCCTCATCTCTGCCAGACCCACTACTTCCTTTTCTTCCATGCCACACCCTCCTTCTCCCATCCTATGGCTCCTTCCTTCTTCCTGCCTTTCCCAGCCTTCTCCATCTCCTATATTCTTCTCCAGCTATTTTTCCCTCCCTGTGCTGTTGTCTGTTTTCTTGTTTTTTGTTTCTTTTTGGTTGTTGTTCATTCATTTGTTTACCTGGCAAACAGCTACCTTTGTGGGTTCCACGAGCAGAGAGCCGGGCTGTGAAACCCCCTGGACAAAACCTCTGCCCTCAGCGAACTCTTGGTTCCTGCTGTTGTGCTCTCCCTCACCTCCACATGCCCAGCACAGTGCGGGGCACACAGTAAGCACTCAATAAATAACCACTCTGATGGATTAAACCGTCTCTGTCTGCATGTCTTCCTCTCTCCATCGCCCCTGCCTTTCTCCAGCCCTGGTTTAGTGACAAGAGTGGACAGGCTGGGCCAAGAGCCCCCGTTTGCACAGTTGGGCCCTTTCCCCCACTTCCAAAGCCACCTGCAGCCCCGCAAAAGGGTGTCTGGGTTTGTGCTGCCCTCACGCGCTGCCTCGTCTCCCCAGAGCCCTACACATGCGGCGCCTGCGGCATCCAATTCCAGTTCTACAACAACCTGCTGGAGCACATGCAGTCCCACGCAGGTAAGCAGCCCTCATAGCTTCCTGCAGAGCAGACACAGCCAGAGCCCACCCTCGGCCCCACCAGGGACACCACAGCCTCTGGGGAAATGGTTACCCTGTGCAGAACCTGCCCTCGGGAAGCACCCTCAGGCTCAGCGCAGGCTCTGAGAATGCCGGCAGGGGGTTGGAGTTGAAGGATGCTTTCTGGAAGTTGAAACTCCTAGGCTGGGCCTGAAGCCAGAGAAAGACACAGAGACAGGAATTGGCTGTGGTTAGAGGTCAGGTTGAACTGAGGCAGGGGAGTGGAGAGGCCAGTCAGCTGCCTAGGTCTGGCCCTGCACTGCACACTCTGCAAGCCACAAGCACTGCGTTCACGCTGGAGCAAGATGGCAGTGACCTGGAGGGCCATTCTGGTGCAGATTGATAGGCCCCACCGTGACTTCCGGTACTGCAGGTGTAGGAGCCCAGGGTTGCCTTTGGGGACACAGCACTGTGTGCAGCACACAGACTGTGGCCCTCAGTTGATTCACCTGGCCCAGATGTGCATCTTCCTGGCCTGTGGCTGCAGCCTTTCCCCAAGGTGACATCCATAGTGACATCTATCTAGTTCCTACTCGGTCAGGTAAAGAGCCCACAACCCCAGTGGCTTCTCACATTCCAGCCTGGTGACTCAGACCTCCACCCTCTGGTGCTACCACCTTCACCTAGGTCCTTTAGAGGCTTGTTTTTCTCTGACTGGCTGATGGGGAACGGACCTGTGAGGAAGGCACCTAAGTGCCACGTCAGACACAAGTGACACGTCATAAATGAGTGTGCAAACTCCAGAGGTGGGAAATAATCACACAGCCTGAATCCATGAGGAATGTACCCAGAGCTACTTCCCAGGGACACTAAGAAAGGAAACACAAACCTGATGTTAGAGCCCACTAGCCACTCCCCACTTATTCCTCAGGATAACCTAGAGAGGCACTAGAAATAAGATGTGAAGCCAGGTCTGGTGATGTATGCCCGTAATCTCAGCATTTGGGAGGCTAAAACAAAAGGTTCATGGTTTGGAGGCCAGCATGAATGGCATAGCAAGACCTCATCTCAAAAAAGAAAAAGAAAAAAGGGCTGGGAAGGTGGCTCAGTGGTAGAGCACTTGCCTTGCATGCATGAGGCCCTGGGTTCGATTCCCCAGCACCACATAAGCAAAAAGAAAAAAGCTGGAAGTGGCGCTATGGCTCAAATGGTAGAGCATTAGCCTTGAGCTGAAGAGCTGAGAGACAGCGCCCAGGCCCAGAGTTCAGGCCCCACAACTGGACCCCCCCCCAAAAAAAAAGAGAGAGAAGGAAGGAAGAAAGAGAAATCTGGGGAACAAAGTGCCCAGGACACCTGTTGGCTCAGTAATTGCTAGTTGCTGTTATTTCCACTGTTGTTATCGCTGTCTTTATTTGTGTGTGTCTTTCTACGGTTTGTAAATCTTTCATTTACCTCTAGATCTGGCCTGATGAGCAGACTATTTCAGGACAGAATCTTCCATATGCATGTACTGTGCTATTAGCATAGCCTCGATTCATGCTCCTTGTTTCTTCCTGGTGTATATGGGAATGCAGTGGATCTGACTCATGTACTACTGTATGCTATTTACTATACATGCTGGGTACTGTGCACAGTACCTACAGTGTCCTAGCCATTCATTCCCAGGGCCTTCAGGCAGCTTATTATTTATAATGAACTCTTTAAAACCAAGACTGAGCCCTGAATGACAGGCAGACACCTGAGCTCCTGTTCCTCTCCATGACATCTCTCATGATCGCGTCCCTCAAACAAGGGCACACAAAGCCCAGGTCCTTTGCTTCTGAGCTCACTCCTGGCTTCCTGACTCCCTCATCCTCCCCTGACTTCAGCCACATCCTCCACTGAAGTCTTAAGGGGATCAGACTTGCCCCCACCCTCTGTGGGAAGTAGCAGCTCTGGGGCTCATGACAGTACTGAGTGTAAGCACTACATCCCTGATGCCCACAATCCTCCCACTCTGAAACCTAGACCTCCACTGCTCTCTGCCATCCTGGTTTCCTGTCTGGCTTCCTGTGCTTTCCCAGCCTTCTGGTAGTTGGGAGTGGGGGCCGAGAGGAGGGAGCTGAGGCTATTAAAATGCAAATGAAGGCTGAGCCTGGAAGTAGTCCCACCTTGCCAAGTATCTAGCCTGGTCTCCCCAGGAACCATGGATGTCAGTTCTGGTCCAGAGAAATGCCTCCCCGCAATCCAGCACAAAGCCAGGCTGAATCCCAGCCTGGCTGAAGCAGGATTAAAGGATTGGCCCTGTGGAGGGAAATTAAGCGTCCTGAGCAGCGCAGTTCACAGCGCAGCTGATAAAGGAGGATCAGCCTCCAATAAAGCCAATCTCATTAAGAGGCTGTGAATGGCACAGGCTAATTCTCCCTAATAAACTTCCCCTCCGTACTGCAGGGAACCTGTCTGCCCTGGTGACAGTTCAGCAGCCTTGTTGACAGTAACGAATGATAGCCGTCATTAGTGACTGCTTGCGTGAGGCATGGTACCTGGGACTCCCCTTGGGAGGCTAGATCAGCTCATCCCTAGGGGCTGCTGACACTATCATACCTTTACGCACATGAAGGACCAAGGCCCAGAGAATAACACTGGCCTTATGCCAGTACTACAAGTCATAAAAACTTGTGGCCACTTCCCTTCAGAGTTCTGTGGAGGCCCCAAGTAGTTAAATTGCCCTGGATTATGAGATCAGTTCTGGAGGTGAAGAGCAGAGCTCTGGGCTGCAGGGTGTGGCCCTGTGGCTGTGAATGGAGGTGACCTTGTTAAGGTCCACACAACCTACTAATTTACTTGGGTACTCACCAACCTAATAGCATCTTCACGAGGTTTGGTCTTTCTCTGACACATAATGGTGTCAAGCTGCTTTTTCTTGTGGGCTTCTTACCATTCCTGTCTATTCTTTAAAGAAATACCTATTCTGGGCTGGGAAGGTAGCTCAGTGGTAGAGTGCCTGCCTTGCATGCATGAGGCCCTGGATTTGATTCCTTAGCACCAGAAAAACAGAAAAAAGCCGGAAGTGGTAGAGCGCTAGCCTTAAGCTGAAGAGCTGAGGGACAGTACACAGGTCCAGAGTTCAGGCCCACTACTAACAAAAAACAAAAACCTATTCTGATCCTTGGCCCATTTAAAAAATTTTTTTTCATCTTTTTACTAAGTTGGAAGAGTTCTCTGTATATTCCATATTTAAGACCCTTATAGGTAATTGATTTATACATACATCTTTTCCATTCTGTGGGTTGTCTTTTCATTTTTTAAACGCTGTCCTTTGAAGCATAAAACATTTTAATTTTGATGAAAACTCCCCTTTTATAATATTTTTGTTGTTTATGCCTTTGATATTACATCTGGAATAAAGCATTGCCTAACTTGTCACAAATTGCTGATTCCATGGGGTTTTGTTTTACTTTGTTTTCTGTTTTCTTCGATGAATTTTATGGTTCGAGCTCTTAGTTGCAGATTCCTTTTTGGTCTGAAGTAGGAGTCCAACTTGTTTCTTTTACATGTGGGTATCTATTAGTCCCACACTCTTTTCTTTCCTTTCTATTCTTACACCACACCCCTTGAATTGTGCAGGTACCTTGTCAAATATCAGTTGACCATAAATGTGAATGTTTATTCCTTTGTTGTTAGGCGTATTCCATTGGCCTGGATGCCAGTATTTGTGCCAAAACCATGTTATCTTCAGTGCTATAGGAGTTTTGAAATCAAGATGCGTAAGCCAAGCCAACTTTGCCCTTTTTCATGATTGTTTTGACTGCCCTGCATCTCTTATATTTCCATATCAATTTTTGGATCATCTTGTCAATTTTCCATTATTTTTTTTAAATCAAGGATTCGAGAAGGATTGTGCTGAATCTAAACCAGCTTTTGTAGTGTTGCTGCTTTAACATCAAGTCTTCCAATCCATGAACATGGGATGTCTTTCTGTTTGTCTTTATTTTTCAACAATGTTTTTAATTTCTAGGATACAAATCCTAAGTATTTTATTGTTTTGGAAGCTTGATTTAATTTTTTTTTTTTGGAGTTAAGGTGATTTTTTTTTCTCAAGCTAGTAATTGCATTCATTAGTTTTTAGTTCTTAACTCCAATTTACATTACTGAGGTAAGTTTCACTTATTCTTTTTACCTGTTGCTCTGTTTGAATTTTGTATGTATGTTAATGAGGACTTTTTTTCTTTTTTAATGCTTTTTCTCCGGTCTTGGATTGAGGAAGTGCCAGACTTGTAAAATGAGTTGGAAGATGTTCTTATTACTTATGTTTTCTGGCAGAATTTGTGTAGAATTTGTATTATTTGTTTTCCCTTTAACTATGTCATCCAATTCACCAGAGAAGTCTTATGGGCCTGGAAGTTTCTTTTTGAAAGCAAGGGGAATTATTTAACAGACAGGACTATGGCAGGTTGTTGATTTCTTCTGGAGTGAACTTTGTTTCTTTGAGTCTTTCAGGTTCTTTGTCTCACCTGGCTTGCATCATCTTCCCTTTTTATCCATGGTTTCATAAGGACTAAATGGAACTAAAAATGATTATCAACTCTACATGATTATCAGCGTTAATGACTTGTGTCCTCTAGCTAGAAGCTTATAATTTTATTGAATTCCTTTTTTTAACAAAGACTTAGCTTTCATTTTTAACTGTGTTTGTCCATTGTCTTTCATTTCTGCTTTTTATCTGAATTGTTTCTTTTCTTCTCCTTACTTTAAGCTTAATCCACTTTTCTTTAGGGGGGGGGGGGGGGTGTGTGTGTGTGTGTGTGTGTGTGTGTGTGTGTGTGTGTGTGTGTGTGTGTGTGTGTGTGTGTGTGTGTGTGTGTGTGTGTGTGTGTGTGTGTGTGTGTGTGTGTGTGTGTGTGTGTTTGAAACTAGGGCCTTACATTCTCACTGGGTGCTTTTTTTTCTTTTTAGTAGACCAACTGGATAGTTTTATTGAGAGGAGAGCAGAGAGCACCTGCTTGGGAGGGAAAAGGAGGAAAGCTGAAGCCAAGTCGTGTTACAGTACAGGGGTTTATGTTTAGTGTTGGTTGTGTGGATGTTAATTTTATAGTTAAGTATTATCATTGATTGATTAATAACTGGGGTAAGTTACAGGTCTCAGTGGGCCTTCTTTTTTACATTTTTAATGTAAAAATACTGTACAGAGGGGTTACAATTACACGAGTAAAATAATGAGGACATTTCCTATCCAGCATTGTTACCTCCTCCTTTGTTTTTCCCCTACCATCCCTTCCCTCCCCTCCTCCCCAACTCTTCCATCCTCCCCACCCCGAAGTTGTATTTCAACATAGTGTCTTGTGCATCTCATTGTTACAATGGTCAACCTGTATCCTTATTTCAGCATTTTATTATTTCCCTTCCCCTCCCCGAATTAGAAAAATGTAGATACGAGATGCAGGGCGCCGGCATCAGTGGGTGTTTTTATTCACAGCTGGCCCCTACCATCTAAGCTGTGTTCCCAACCCTTTTTGCCTTAGTTTGTTTTTCAAATCAGGCCTTATATGTATGCCCTGGCTGGCCTAGATCAAGATCTTCCTATTTACACTTTCTATGTAGCTGGAGTTACAGGTTTGCACCACATCTCCATTGGTTAAAATGGAATCTTGTGAACTTTTTCCCTACACGAGTCTTGAACAATGATCTTTCCATCTGTCTCCCAAGAAGTTACAATAACAGTATAAAGCTAAATAAAGATACAGTATGCAAATGGATGTGGTAGCTTATACTGTTATTGTAACTTCTTGGGAGACAGAAAGATCATAGTTCAAGTTTAGCTTTTGACTCTTGATCTCTCTCTATCTTTGTTTAAGTAGGTTTCTTATAGGTGATATATCATTTCTTGTTTTTAAATATTAATCTCATGGAATTTCTTTGGAATTTTGAGACATGTGCATTTAATGTAATTTCAGTGCAGTCAGCTATAAATCTGCCTTCTTTATACTTGCCTGCTAGTTCATCTCCTTTATTCTGTTCCTTTTTAGCCTCTAATTTTTCTAATTTATTTTGGATTGAGAATTTTTATCTTCACTTATCTTGACTTATTAGGTATACATTTTTTGCTTTTTACCAGTCATTTACAGCTTTATAGCCTTAAGCTGTCTATATATTTTGAATTGATCATTCTTCTATCAAATAACATTAGCTTTGCCAGGTTCTGGCAGCTCACACCTGTAATCCTAGGTAATAAGAAGGCCGAGATCTAAGAATCATGGTTCAAAGCCAACCTGGACAGGAAAGTCTGCGAAACTCTTACCTGCAATTAACTAACAGAAAAACAGAAGTGGAAGTGTGGCTCAAGTGATAGAGTTCTGGCTTTGAGAGAAAAATAGCTAAGTGACAGTAACCAGGCCCTAAATTCAAAATGCAGTACCAGCACAAAGCAAACAAACAACAACAACAAAACACATTAGCCTTATTTTCATGTCATGTGAGAACTTCTCAACAGTGTCTTCTGTTTCCCTATTCTGATCTTTGGAACATGGTTGCTGTGCAGTTTACTTTTATACAAAATTACCAAAGTTCATGATCCCTGTTTGGAGTGAGAGATCAGTTATCTTTTTAAGATTTAAAATGCGGGAGCCATTTTCCCTCCTCACACATGTATGTGCAGCTCACAGTAACCTTCTTCATTTCTGTAGATCCAGTTTTCCTGATAGAAGCTCAGCTTTTTGTCTTAAAATACATTTTATCTTCATTTGCAAAAAAAGATCCCATGATGATTGTGTTTTGCCTCGTATCTCTGAATATATGTATAATATTCACAACAGCTCTCTTTAAAGCCTTATTGGCTAATTCCATCCTCTCTATCATACACAGGTCTATTTCTGTTATTGGTTTTTCTCCTGGTTGTAGGTCATATTTTACTAATATTTATTGAGTACTTGATAGTGTGAATTATACGTTTTACTGGGTGCTGGAATCCATTGTATTTCTTTTTCTTTTATTTTTTGTGCTGCATTTTGGGGGACTTGTGCTCTTGCTTAGTTTTATTGCACAAGGCTGGCACTCTACCAATTGAACCACAGCTCGACATCCAGCTTTTTGTTGGTTAATTGAAGATAAGCGTCTTGAGGATTTATCTGTCAAGGGTGGCTTTGTACCTTAAGCCTCAGATCTTAGCCCCTTGAGTAGCTAGAATTACAGGTGTGAACTACCAGCACCCAGGTCCCTTGTATTTCTTAAAGGAATGTTAGACTTGATCTGCAATTTAGTTTCTTTCTTAAGAGCATGATTATGCGTTTGAGGCTTGCTCTTAAAGATACAAGGCAGACAGCCAGACTCTAGTGGCTCATGCCTATAATCCTAGCTACTCGGGAAGCTTAGAATGAGATGATCTTGGTACACAGCCAGCCTGAGCAGGAAAGTTCAAAGACAGCTGGGTGTAGTGGCTTGCACCTGTTACCCTAGCTATGACAATAAAGCCTAACAGGTGGATCACACCTGGGTATGCATACCTAGGCAGGAAGTGAGAACCAGTCACAAAATATCAGCAGAAAACAGGGCCGATGCATGGCTCTTCAGTAAAAACCACCTCCCTAGCAAGTACGAGGTCCTGAATTCAATCCCCTCCATGAGAGAGAGAGAGAGAGAGAGAGAGAGAGAGAGAGAGAGAACAGATGTGGAGCTGTTTTTAATCTGTGGTGAGTTTAGTTTCATCAAAACAAACTGAACTTTATCAAATCTCTCATGCACTGAAATCTTTTGCCTCAGCCCGGCACATTTCCTGAGTGATCCTAAGCAAACCATTTTTTAGATCTGGACCATAGTTCCCATGTTTTCCAGTGAAGGGAAAAGAGTTGGTAATTGAGTGCTTCAAATCATGTAGGTAGAACCTGGTTTTATTTTCTTCATTTAATATAATCTCCAGTAAATACACTGAATAACAACACACAAAAGTAAGAGAATGTGAGATACTGCCGAGCCCTTAGGTCTGGGGTTGTGGGAATTGTAGGTGCCTGGCTAGCCTCGGGTTCCCACTGGCTAAGAGTTTTCCTTAGTCCAGGCATGGTGTCAGCAATCCTTGCACTGCCTGTATGGTCCTTCCAGCCTCTGTAATGGCCGGAGATGAGGCTTTGCTAACATAGATCATTGCCTAAGGAGCCAGGACTTAGCCCAGGCCACGTCTTGCTCTTTCCCCCTGACTCTTGTTCTATTCTTACTGGTCTTGCCCTTCATGGTAATGCTGTCCCCATTGTGCCTACAGCCGACAATGAAAACAACATCACCTCCAACCAGTCCCGATCTCCACCTGCCATCGTGGAAGAGAAGTGGAAACCTCAGGCCCAGAGGAATAGTGCCAACAACAGTAGGTCTCCTGGGCAAGGGCTGGAGCCAGGGGCCCTGGGAGGTCCTGAGGCTCTGCTGTGGTATTCCACTCACCCCTATCTCCTCCACCTATGTCTCCTGTGGGGCCAGAGGTGACAGACACACAGCAGCTTCCAGGGCATACTCATGCTCAACACCTCACAGCAGGAGTTCTTAACACACAGGGTGAGCAGAGGAAGGCTTTAAAAAAAAATATATGGTTAGAGAGCACCAGTTAGTGCCAGGATTGCAATCAGAGCCCACATTTTTATGATTTCTGTGGGCTGCACTTTCCTGACACTGACCCAGCCTACCTTTCTCACTAAAGATTCCTATTTTAATGGCAACTCCTGTATTGAGGAAGAAGTAAGACTAGTTGTGATCACAGGCCTAGGTAATGACACCTATGGCAAGCGTGTTTCACACTCACCCTAAGTACCATTCCTATACCTGTGGCAGGCATTACTAATCAATTGCAAAACTTTATCCCTGTGAGACTGATATGTGTGAGAACCAATCTGCCATGCCCACGTGTGCACGAGATAAAATGTATTTGTTATTCCTAATACTCTATGCTTAGACTACTAAGCTACTACCAGATCAAGCACCCTGGAAATGCCAGAATGAATCCGTTTTCTCTCTGTGTCCCTGGCAGCCACAAGCAGTGGTCTACCACCCAACAGCATGATCCCGGAGAAGGAGCGGCAGAACATTGCAGAGCGGCTGCTGCGGGTCATGTGTGCCGACCTGGGGGCGCTGAGCGTGGTCAGTGGGAAGGAGTTCCTCAAGTTAGCGCAGACCTTGGTGGACAGCGGTGCCCGCTACGGGGCCTTCTCAGTCACCGAGATCCTGGGCAACTTCAACACGCTAGCACTGAAGCACTTGCCTCGCATGTACAACCAAGTGAAGGTGAAGGTAACGTGTGCCCTGGGCAGCAATGCCTGCCTGGGCATCGGCGTCACCTGCCACTCGCAGAGCGTCGGTCCCGACTCCTGCTATATCCTCACGGCCTACCAGGCTGAGGGCAACCACATCAAGAGCTATGTGCTGGGCGTGAAGGGCGCTGACATCCGTGACAGCGGCGACCTGGTGCACCACTGGGTGCAGAACGTGCTGTCGGAGTTTGTCATGTCGGAGATCCGGACAGTGTACGTGACAGACTGCCGGGTGAGCACGTCGGCCTTCTCGAAGGCCGGCATGTGCCTTCGCTGCTCGGCCTGTGCCTTGAACTCGGTGGTGCAGAGCGTGCTGAGCAAGCGGACGCTGCAGGCCCGCAGCATGCACGAGGTCATTGAGCTGCTCAACGTGTGTGAGGACCTGGCAGGCTCCACGGGCCTCGCCAAGGAGACCTTTGGGTCCCTGGAGGAGACGTCGCCGCCGCCCTGCTGGAACTCAGTGACGGACTCCCTGCTGCTGGTGCACGAGCGCTACGAGCAGATCTGTGAATTCTACAGCCGGGCTAAGAAGATGAACCTCATCCAGAGCCTCAACAAACACCTGCTGAGCAACCTGGCTGCCATCCTGACACCTGTGAAGCAGGCGGTCATCGAGCTGAGCAACGAGAGCCAGCCTACCCTACAGCTCGTGCTGCCCACCTATGTCCGGCTGGAGAAGCTGTTCACAGCCAAGGCCAATGACGCCGGGACCGTCAGCAAGCTCTGCCACCTCTTCCTAGAGGCGCTCAAAGAGAACTTCAAGGTGCACCCAGCCCACAAAGTGGCCATGATCCTGGACCCGCAACAGAAGCTGCGGCCCGTGCCGCCCTACCAGCACGAAGAGATCATCGGCAAGGTCTGCGAACTCATCAACGAGGTGAAGGAATCTTGGACAGAGGAGGCTGACTTCGAACCCACTGCTAAGAAGCCCCGCTCCACGCCGGGTGAACACCCCACAGCTCAGGAGGACGACCGGCTAGGGAAGAACGAAGTGTATGATTACCTGCAGGAACCCCTTTTCCAGGCCACCCCTGACCTCTTCCAGTACTGGTCATGCGTGACCCAAAAGCACACAAAACTAGCCAAGCTTGCCTTCTGGCTGCTGGCCGTTCCAGCTGTGGGGGCTCGAAGTGGGTGTGTAAATATGTGTGAGCAGGCACTTCTGATCAAAAGGAGACGGCTGCTCAGCCCAGAAGATATGAACAAGCTCATGTTTCTGAAATCCAACATGCTTTAAGACGCAGCTTCAGAAAATTAAACAAAAAACAACTTAAAAAAAAAAAGACAAGAGAACGTTAGGGAAGGAAAAATTAAAAAAAAAAAACACAACACTGTCACAAACAAAGGAAAGGAATTTAAGTTCTAAACACTGTGGACCTCATTATAAACGCCCCCTCCCCCCAGGAAACTTAAGTGCTTTTTTTCCCCATGTATGTGTGTGTGTACGTATGTCCGCACCCAGGCATGTGTCCAGACATGCAGGTGTGCGGTATGGGGTGGGCTTCATGCTCAGCTGTTGGCTGGAGAAGCTCCACCCACATGTGTGCACACACATACAACCCTGGTGCGCATGTGCACGCCCACTCACAGGTGTGTGCATCAGTTGGGTGTGTCAGGAAAGCCGGAAAGAGGGAGATGGTTCACCTTTTCTCCAGCAGGGGCTCTGTAGAAGGACTCCATTTTCAGGTGCGCAGATTGGAAGAAGCCGATACAAGGTATGCAGCTGGTCAGGCGGCTGAGATCTGAAGTGAGTGACCCGATGCTCCCTGTCCTTCACCGCTAGTCCCTTCTTCATCTCCCTCTCCATCCCCTGATTCCCCACAGACCCACCCTCCTGCCCTAGCTGCTCTGCCATGGATTCTCCAAACTGCATTTGATGGAGAGTTTCTGCACTGGACTTTGTTTCTCGTTCACCTTCAGGGCATTGAGCTGCTGTCTCTTGGTGACTCCCACTCCAGGGTGTTCCCGGGGGGCAGTCGCTTTAGAAACACACCTATCTATCTCCCCAAAATCAGGAAAGGAGACTTTCAAGAATATAAAAGCTGATGTTTTGCTTTTTAATATAAGAGAAAGAGAGAGAAAGTGACTTTTTTTTTTTCAGAGAAGTAGTCAATTGTCTCCACCCAATACTTTTTTTTCCCCAACATTTGAGCAATGTTTATCTTCCTTTGGGGGGGGGAATTAATTTTTTTTTCACATTTGATTTCAACTCTGCTAGGAGGCACTGAATGTCGGTAACTTATGTTTCAGAGTTTTTCTGTTTTGTTTTTGACTTGGCCTCAAGTCACACTGTAAACTAGCTCATCTCAGTGGTATATTGGCTATTGTAAGGTTTTTCTCATCCTTCGCTGGGAGAACAGTTCTGATCTCATGTTAAGACAACCAAGACCAAGCTCAGGATGGCACTGGCTGGAGACCAGGCTGGGTGGTTCCGATATGGGGTTTGGTGGAAGCTGCAGGGAGCAGCATGGGGCCTCGGGGTCCTCTGAATGTAAACAAAGACCCACCTACTGATTGGCTGTCTGTACCAGGACATCTGACTCCTGTACCCAGACTGCTGCACTCCTCACCTCATCCCAGGCCTTCATCGCAGCAGGAACTCCTAATCGGATCCATATTCACACCTGTCATACCCCAGACCCACAGTCTCTTCTCCCCCTGCCCCCATACCTGGGGGTCCCGGGACCTTTGTAGTGGGGCGAGGGAGAGTGTCCACAGCCCTCAGGGGTCCCACCAGGCCCCTAGTCCTCTACTCAGGACAGCAGCTGAGCAGGGTACCTTGTGGTCTGAACAGTTGATATCCAGAGGTGGACACAGTCAACTCCATGCTGTGAAAGGGATCTCTCCTGACCTCCCTCCTGACCCCTGGCCAGGAACAACTGAGCTTCGGCACACAGTCCTGCCTGATGTTGAGAAGTGACAAGGGAAAGATTGGCTGTGACCCCCATTCCCGCCCACACGCCTCTCCGTATCTCTCGGCTGCTGGTCCCACAGCCCTCTGGTGACCAGGGCTCTGAGATGCTTGTGCTTCGGCTGCAAAGAGCCACCACTGAGGGGAGGAGGGAGCATTGGCCAAGGCAACTTCTGCCATTCTGGGACGGGCTAGGAGGGCACCCTCTCCCCAGGAATAAAGCATTACTCAACTGTGAGATACCTCGACTACAAAAAGCACTGTACATCCCTCTCCCGCTGAGACCCCCAACAGGATGGGGCGAAGGTGGTTTAGAAACTCAAGAAGGCTTAGGATTTTGATTGTGGGTCCACAATACTGTCCTCGGGAACCAGGCCTGCACATTTCACCTCATGAGAGAATGAACCCAGATCTCTCCTATAGAGCCTTGGACACTGAAATGAACCAAATGGGCCATTTCCACATTCACTCCAGCAACCATGGTCTCAGGAACACTATTCATACTCCTCTCCTGGAAAACAGCTAGGCTTCAAGCTCGGGTCTCTCCACCAGAAGATCTTCTGTCCACAGAGAATCAGGAATGGGGGTGGGGGTGGGGTGAGACAAACCAAATGTCACTCCCTAGAGAATATGGAAACAGGGACAGATTTTTCTGTTGGACCACCTCCTGGAAGATGAGCTATGGACTGTTGATTAACAGATGCCTCCAGTCTGGCTGGGCTGCCAGAGACAGGGCCTTCACCGGTCACTTGGAGCCACACAAGGAAGACAGGAGTTACCCATTGGTTGTGGTCAGGGTTGCAGGCTCTTGGAGTTCACCTTGACTGCTGGGAGCAGAGCTGGGCTGCTGGGCAGATTGGGCAGCTGGGAATTAAGAAACAGGCATTCTGCTCTCTTGTAAAGCCACCAGCCAAGCCCAGATGCGGTTAGAACACTCAGCATTCTGTTTGGGGCATGAGATGCTGGCTCTCCAGAAGGAAAACTAGTGAGTCATGTTCAACTCAAGGTTTGGGGTCATGGTTATCACCAACTCAATGGATTCTTTTGTGTGTATGTGTGTGTGTGTGTTGGCGCTCTACCACTGGAGCCATACCTCCACTTCCGGCTATTTGGTGGTTAATTGAAGAGTCTCATTGGACTTTCCTGCCCCAGCTGGCTTTGAATAGTAATCCTCAGATTTCAGCCTCCTGTGTAGCTAGGATTCAGGTTTGAGCCACCAGCCTCCAGCTCCAGTTCTTTTGCACTTCAGTACTTAGGACTTAAGTGTGCCAATGCAAGTTTGGTGTGAATGCCACTGGGTTCTATTGGGCAGCCTCACCTGCATAGATAATAAGTTGATGGGCAGTCATTCCTCTCTCTGGTTCCCCGGACAAGGTCATACATACCTCTCGGGCAGGCCATCCTTAAGGGCAAATCTTGCTGCCGCAGACAGCTGGATACAAATCCAAAGATCTCACAAGTCCAACCACTGGCTCCTTATCTCCAGCAATATCCAACTTACCAAACTCTAGTTCTGCCAAAGGACTAAGCCAGGCTCTTCCGGCTCATCCTGGTGCCTGACCTGGCCTTGACCTTCAGAAGGACGCTCGTCAGTCATCTCCTTCCCAGCTGTACTGCCACCCTAGGTCATTCCACCACAGACCTTTGAGGGACACGAGACCAGGGAGTTGGGGCGTTTCCTGTTCTCTGCAGTCCAGTGACAGATATAGCTTCCTTGAGCCACGCGCTTCCCAGGACAAATGACCTCCGTTTGGACATCCACAGACCCACATTACATCTCCACTTAGCTAGCGGCGTTCCTCTCCCCTCCCCCCCATGTCAGTTTGTTTTTGCCAACAAAGCCAAAACCAAGGACCACAGTGTCATGGGTGGCCTCAGATTCAGAGTGGCCAGATGGTCTCAGGTCTGTGTAGAGTGATGATGCCAACCTGATGTATCAGCCAACATAGCTCTCCTGTTCCCAGTACCTAGGTCTACCTGCCAGGCCTCCCACCAGTGGCATTTAAAAACCAAGAAGCAGAGCAGATACCACCTGAGCAAAACTACCTGCCATTCGTTTCTTGGGGGCTCCCAGTACAGAAAGCCTTCTGTTGCATCACAAGTGGGAACATGCTTCCACCATCCAGCTGAGTAGCATTGAGGTCTTGGCTGGGGGAAATGACACTCAGGCTCCCTGGTGAGAAGGGACCACAGAGACACTGGATGAGAAGTCACAGATCCCAGGATTACAGGACAGAATTGACACCAGCAATGGAGGCTGGCCAGGTCCGCTTTTGAGTTTCATTGGTTTTCTCCTGTACCCTCAAGAAACAGCAAGAGAAGACATCTGTAAGTCCTATTTCCTACTGTGAAGCTGAGCCTTGTCCCTGTTCTTGGGCCAGTCCTACCTCCCCTGGATTTATTAGGGTGCCCAGAGTGTGGGCACCTGGAAAGATGTCAGTGATGCAGCTCAGACTCTGGGTCTGTGCGGTCACCAGAAGTCTGCAGTGATGGCAGGATGCGGATGGAGAAGGGAGGCCCGTGAGATGCTACCTGGACCTTGTCATCTTGATGTCGTGGGTGAAGAGGAAGGCATGGCTTGATGAGCAGCCTCCTAGCTGTGCCCTGGCCTTGGGACCAAGGCAACATCACTGTCTTTGGGATGTATTGGAAGGAGGCTGCTGGGGAGGCCCATGGTGCAGACAACCAGGAGGCTAAATGAGGGTCAGGCTGGGACCTGGAGACGGTAGATGGAGCCCCTGTCCCAGCCCAGCCTCTGTCCCCCTGGGCAGTGGGAGAGCTGGGAGGACACGCCCCCCCCTTCACTGTGGCTAATGTTTGCTAGGCCAGTTTTGGTGAACCAATGATGACAGTGTTTTCCTCTTACGTTGACCTCCCATCTTTCCCCATTTGGGGTCTTCTCGGGGATTTTTGTTGCTGTTCTTTTCCTTCTTGTCTCACTTGGGTCTGAAGATGGTGGTTAGAGGAGCCACTCTCGCCAAAAAGAGTCTGGTTCTGTACTAAAAGGCCCCTGCTCCCGCTTCAGTGCCGGGCAGGTGGGGTGGTCACTATCCCATACAGCCCTGACCCATCAAGGCCCCACCTACCCCCACATCCACCGGGCATCTTGACTCTTCGAACCAAAGTTCCTTAAAGGGGCCTAGGCCAGCCTTGTCCACAACCTCAGGGGCCTGGGATTCTTGTGATACAGCCTGAAAACCCTGGTTGGCACAGACCATGGTGTCTTGAAACCAGCTGGAAGGAAGGCTCTCCCACATACAACCCAGGTGCCAGCCGGGCTCCTGGTCAAGGACCCTTGCCCACCCAGCCAGGGTAGGTGACTTCCCAAGTAGGGAACACGCGTGTGGCCTGACGTGAGCCGGGCCTCTCTAGCCGAGAAAGAGCAGGAGCCACGCAGCAGGGGCTCCCAGACCCCAAGCATCAGGAAACCATTTTGTACAACCACCCGAAGCAGAGATATTTTTTAACAAGTGTAAGTTATTTTTTAGTTGTTTTTCTGGATCCTACCTTTTTCTCCTCCCTTCATCCCCCACCTCCCACAACCTCACATTGGGTGATTCCGTTCACATCAGGTAAATCTCAAGAACGCCTTGGTGCCCCATCCCCCACGGCCCCTCCCCCACTCTGTGACATGTGCGTGCACTTCCATCCTGTTTCTGTAGTTAAAGACTTGCTAGGCAATACCACGGACACATTCTGACTGTGTCTCTCTTCGCGTACAAGAAACTCAAGTCATCTTTAAAATAAAATTTTAAAAAAATTACAAAAAAAATTACAAAAAAAAAAAAAACACCCAAACACACACATACATACACACAAAAAAAAGTATCTTTTTTAGGCCAGAGTTTTCTACAGGTATTAATGAATATTTTTCTTAATCCTTATAAGTTTTATGTGTTTAATATTTCTTAATACCGGTAGCATTAATTTATACTTTTGTAGCAACACAATATTTTTATAAATAGCCAGTGCTTGGCTTAAGTCTTCACGGGGGTTTAGGCAGGGTTATCTTGGAGACCCTGTGTACCATGTACTGTATTTAAAAAATAAAAAAAAAGAAACAAAAACAAAAAGTTACCTAATGTCACTCTTGCTGTGTCGATTAACAAAAGACGTCTTTGGTGGTCTCCTGTCTTGTTGGCGTGGGTCCAACAGTTTCCTAAGGAGTCACATTGCATGGGGGTTGACGGTTCTTGTTGTAATACATAAGCCCCCGAGCCCAAACTTGAGGGCTCATTTAGGGTTTTCTGTGTGTCCTTTGGGATTTTTGTTGTTGTTGTTGTTGTTGTTGTTGTTGTTATTGTTTTACTTTGTTTTGGTACCATTTTCTCCATTTACAACCAAATCAGTCTCATGATGTTTTCAAAACTTTTACTGATGTCAAATGGAGAAAAAGAACAGGAAGAAAAAAAAATTTTACCAAGTAATAAAATTTTAAAAACTGAGCTGTTTAAATGTTGCTGTTTTTTACCTGTCTGTTTTTGTCTTCCCTTCCCTCCCTGCCCAAAAAAGTGGAACACTCCCAGGGAGAAAAGGAAGGTTCCACTAGCTCCTTCATTCAGAAGGAGAAGCCCTGAGCCCAGGATTCAGTAACCCCCCTCCCCAACCCCCGAATTCTCCCGTGATGCCCGGTTAGTTGTTCCCGAGGTGAAAACACATCCTTTTAACGATTTTGAGGATCAGTCGCTTCAAGGAGTTCATGTCAGTGTTGTATTTATGGTTTTATAATAAAACGACCTTTAGGAAGTTCCAGTGTGCGCTGGTTTTTCTTGGAATTGGGTTTGGGCCATGCCAATATCTTAGCAGGCGAAGGATCAGAGATGGGTCACTAGGGGGACAGCTTGAATCCGGTGCCAAGGGGGACACTGAGGTCGGCTTATGGGCTCCTCAGCGAGGCATCGCAGCTCAACCACTTTGATAGATGGAGGAGGAACGAGGAAGCCATGGCCTGTTGTGAGCTTGCTTGTCCAGCCTCATCCCCCAGGGAAGAACGGATGGGTTTAACCTCCAAGTTCTGCAAATCCAGTACCTGAAGCGCACACTCTGGCCTGCCTGGTCCTGCTGTCCTGTGGGCTCTTGTGCCTCTTTATCCAGAGTCTTGGCTGCCTAAAAGGTGTGTATGCTTATAACATTGTTGGGGAGGGGGGGATCATTCGTTTCCTTGGAAGAGAATCCATAGCTCTTGCTCAGTTCCCAGTGGCCTCCACATCTCAGAACCCTCCAGCGTGAGCCCTGACCACTTGCCCATATCCCAACACATCAGTCTCAAGGACCATGCATGATCTTCTTTTCTTTTAAAGAAACGGAAGGCAGGTGGAGGGAGAGAAGGTCCTACCGAAAGACCAGCTGTGGCCTGCCCAGGAAGTAAAAAAGGCAACTTCTAAGGCAGCTGCTGCTCCAGAGCCTGTCAGGTAAAGCAACCACCTTGCTCTCTAGGTAAGTGAATGGCAGAGCCTCCCTCTTCCCCGTGCCCCTCCCCCCCCCCCACCACACACATATACCTTGTTTAACTT